AGCTAAGACTCTGTCTAACAGTCTGGAAGACTTTTCCCTTGGTCTTCATCCCTACTGGTGTTTGCAGGAAGATGCTGGGGAGCCTCAGTGGGGAGTCTTCATCAGCTGTGCCCAGGCTCAGTTCTCAGCTCCATGATCTTCACTTGGATTTTGATATGGAAAAGATGATGGCGAGGGCAGGGGTGTTATTCAATGTCTGTCTGTCTGTCTCTGTCTCTGCTCTGTCTCTCTCCCTTTCCTTTTCTTTCTTCCTTTCTTTCTTCATTTCTTCCTTCCAGTATCGATTGGATAATTTTTGTCTTGATGTTTCATTATTTGAAATTCTGTATATATCTTTGATATGAATACCCTTGTGTGTGATTGGTGCTTTGTTGTTTGGTTGGCTTTTGAGACAGTGTTTCACTAGGTAGTTCTGAGTTCCTGGCCTAGAACTCACCAAGCTGTCCTTGAACTGAAAGGATGCACTGTTTCTGCTTCTCAAGTGCTGGGACTAAAGGCATGTGCCACCACACTTGACTAAGCAGAGCGTTGTTCCTCCTTCCTGTAGGCTGTATCTTTAGTCTAACATTAGGGCTATTGGATTTTGGTTTGGTTTGGTTTGGTTTTTGTTTTGTTACAAGGAAGAAAGCTGTTTTAGCCCTAAGTTCAGAAGTTAAAGCTTTTAAGGTGAAAATAATGATTAAATTGTATTTTTAGTTTTAGTTTTGAGAATTCCATAATGCATGTGATGTGTTTTGATCAAACTCCTCACCCATTCTGCCCACCACTTCCCCTCCCGTCTCCGTGTGCTCAGTTAAGCGCACTGAGTCCACTTAGTGCTGCGTGTATGGGCACGGGTGCAGGATTCACCTCCTTGACAGAGCATCTGCACCCTCTCCAGGATCACCTCCTAGACAGAGCATCTGCACCCTCTCCAGGATCACATCCCTGGAGAATCCCACCCGTGTCCATCCTTAGCTAGGAGTGGGGTGTCAGGAACCCGTCCGTGTTGGAATTTCGGCTGGCTTGATCTTGTGCAAGTCTTGAGCTGTGGTCACAGCTGTGAGTTAGTGTGTGCAACAGCCTTGTCAAGCCAGGCGGCTACTTTTACTGCAGGTGTCCACTGCCTCTGCTTCTGCAGCTTTTCCGCCTCGTCTTTCCACGATGACTCTGAACCTTGTCGCCAGGGCATGGGATATAGAGGACCCATTTAGATTTGAACACTCCAGAGTCCCTTATTCTGTGCATGTTGACCAGTTGTGGGTCTCTGTATTAATCACCAGCCACTGCAAATCTACAGTTGTTGGGTAAGAACTTCAGATGCAGTTTATTACTGTGTCCACTTAGCAAAATAAGAGTAGTAGGTTCTTATGGATGACTTAGGCAACCATGGGTTTTTGGTCCAGTTAACAAGTCATGAGGAGTGAGCCTTAAGTCCAATCAGAAAGCGATTGGTTATTCTTATAATCTCTATTCCTCTGTTTCACCAGTGGCCATATCGTGCCAGGACAGTTGTAACTTCAAGGTTCACAACTGTTGTTTACTTTTCAGTCCCAGTAGGGAGACCGACTTCTAGGTCAGTACCCGCTGGATTTCTCTGTGTTCTCTGTGTCTTTAGGGAGGGTAACAATTCTGGAGGGTAACAAAGAAGTCTGGCAATCGTAGCCTATAATGTTTGTGGGGTCCTATACCTCTCAAAAAAGGTATCCTATACCTGGTACTGGGCTTTTTAAGTAGCTTGTGGTATCTAGTAGACGTTTGTCCCTGTTATAGAGCAGCTCCATTTGAACTCTATGCTATCCATAGAAACAAGAGAGACCCTGCCTCAAAAACAAGGTGGAAGGAGAGAACCAGTTCCTAAAAGTTTTTCTCTGATTCCCCTATCTCTCTTTCTCTCTCTCTCTCTCTCTCTCTCTCTCTCTCTACACACACACACACACACACACACACACACACGACTATTTTTAGAAACCATCACCACTGTCCTGCAAAGAAAAAAAAACCCTGTAACAATTTCATCTCTGTATTTGAAAAAGCAAGAGGATATTTTCCACCTACCCCCAAATATGGTCTCAGTATCCCCACTGGCTTTCCACTCCACCCGCCTGTCCTCTTATTTGTATGGGTGTTTTGCCTGCTTTTACGTCGGCACCATGTGTCACAGTTTTTGATTTTTGACCGAGTCTGTAGACAACTAGAAGGCACTTATCCATTGAAGTCAGTTTTGCTGCCATGGAGACAGGAACTGGATGGGAAGATAGATGAATTAACAGCGGGCCCCCTGTGAAGACCGAAGGGCAGGTAGAGCGACATCAGAGGCTTCTCATGGATGCCACTCTTCAGGTGTGTTGAAATGCATCGCGCAGTTGAGCGTCCATCACTTAGAAAAATCAGCTCAGGTCCAATTTGCCTTCCAGAGTTGTGCCTACTGAGAATTGACTTCTGTTTCCGTCCCTTTCCTTCCCCATCTCTCACCTTCCAGTGTGCATAGTTTATTCTACTTTGTATCGGGGTCGTATATAATGGAACCTGTTTTCTGTGTGGGAGGAGATAAATTACCACGGATGTTTATCTGGGGTAAGAGAGCGGTGGCTGCTTTCTGCTTGTCCCTCCCTCCCTGACAAAGTGGATCTCAGGCAGAATCTTCTACTGTCCATACCTCCTTCCTCCTCCCTCAGGTAGCCCCCAGTGTCACCCAAGCTGGCAGGTGATAAAGTAGACCTTCTCAAGGCATGAGGGTACAAGGGAGGGAACCTCGCTGCCCACGAGACTCACTTTACCCTGTAGAACTGTCTTCTGTAAACTAACTTACAGGTGGGTGGGACTGGATCCGTGAAGCGCCGCTGTGCTGAATGAAACTTGCAGGATTTCCTTTTCTAATCTTGGTTAAGCAAACACGCAGTTAATGTAAATTATCCATTATCCAGCCCCCGTTTCTCTAATTATGGGTAATGGACTGTGAAGGGGCACAGCAATCCCTGAATCATCTGTTTACTTCAGCGGAGCCTCCCCTTGGTGATGGGGGAGGGGAGGCACCTGCCAGTCGGCTGCTCTCTGATGCTGTTCCAAGGCTACCTGAAGCCTAATGAGCCTGCAAGAGGAGGATGTGTGTGACTCTTTCATTTGTTTGAAGTGAGAAATGACATTTTATTTTCCACTTTGTCACCTGAAGAGGAACTGCAGTCAGATGCAGTCAGTTGTGGCTGTTTGTTTTTAAGACTCGGTGCTGACTTTAATTGTTGGGTGTTCGCAGTAACCTAACCAACTTCTTATATGTCCATCCTGACCCGCCGGCCCGTGGTTCTCTCCTGGGTAGGGCCCACAGGCAGCCTAGATAGAGTCCTACATGGTTGTGGTCTGCTCCGGCAGGGCTGGCTGACCTGAACTCTGGGCCTACTTTTGAGCAGTGTGGTGATCCGCATCTCTCAGTCCTAAGCCTAATTATGTTTTATGGCCAGCAGACAGCCCTGCTGTTCATTTTCATTTCTGACAAGGCTCTAATTGATGCCCAAGGTCCTATCTCTAGCCGCTGGGCTCTGCCTAAGTGTGGCTAGCTGGCGCATTCACCTGTGCTGAACGAGAAGAGAAAGTGTGTGATTTTGCCTTGTCCCCAGCTGCACCCGCCGAAGCTACCACTGCCTCCTCCACCTCCTTTTTCTTTTTTTGGGGGGGGGGGGCAGAGGCTCTTGAGACTGACTTTCTCTGTGTGGCCCTGACTGTCCTGGCACTTGCTCTGTAGACCAGAACCCACAGATCTGCCTGCCTCTCCCTCCTAAGTGCTGGGGTTAAAGGTGAGCACCACCACCACCCTACTTTATGTTTTTCGTTGACCAGGCTCTTTAAGGAACTTTTAGGGCAAGGGAACTTGAACAACTTGAAGATTTTTTTTTTTTTTTTTTGAGACAGGGTCTCACTTTTTAGACCTGGCTGGCTTGAAACTTAAGTGGTTTGCCTGCCTCTGCCTCCTGAGGGCCGGGATTAAAGGTGTGGTGTGTGTCATTTTTAATACTGAAGTTTCATTTTTAAATAAGTTTCAGGAGCTGGAACAATGGTTCAGCTATTAAGTGCTGTTTGTTCTTCCAGAAGACCCAGGTTAGATTCCTAGCACCCACTCGGTGGCTGATATCTTCTATAACTTCAGTTCTGGGGGACCAATTGATCCCTTCTTCTGGTCTCCATGGATTCTGCATGTTGCATAGACACATGTACAAGCAAACACCCATACATGTAAAATAAAATAATAATTCTCAAAAAGGAAAAAGTTGCTGGGTGGTAGTGGCGCATGCCTTTAATCCCAGACAGGTGGGTCTCTGTGAGTTTGAGGCCAGCTTGGTCTACCAGGACAGCTAGGACTACACAGAGAAACCTTGTCTCGAAAAACCAAAAAAAAAAAAAAAAAAAAAAGAAAAGAAAAGAAAGAAAGAAAAAAGAAGGAAAAAAAGGAAGAGGCTTAGGGTTTTGGTCTTTCAAATGTAGTGTTCTTCTAAGCCTAGAGAAATGTCTTTCAAATGTATTTTTTTAAGTGTGTTTATTATTGTGTGCGTGCAGTATAATTTGAATTTGATGGAATAGAAGGCAGATACCAGAGCTTTCTGGACAAACTCCTGGAATGGTATGTCCTAGATGGTTGAGATAACCGTGTGTCACAATGCCATGTGCTGGAATCTCTCTCCATCTTTCTTAGGAACGTGGTGACTAAGAACTTCATCTTTAAAATTTAAGGTCCAGCTGATTGTGTTGCTAAATCGCATTCCTTGTGCCATGGCTCAGGCTTCACCTTGCTTGTTGGATTCTCTTCTTGGCCCCAGCTTCTCTCTCCATGCTCCTAATGGACACTGTCTTCATGGAGAATTTGTGTGTAGTTACTGAGGCTGTGACAGCCGGTTAAGGTCACCTGTGAGCTCTCCTGCCTGTCACTGCTGGGCTTAGTGGGTAATGACCAGAAGCTGAGGACCGTGTGAGGCACGGAGGGCGGCACCTTGTCTCCGAGCCCCTCTAAAGTTAGGGGACTTGTATTTTAGATCGCATCCAAGTATGACCAGCAAGCGGAGGAAGATCTGCGCAACTGGATAGAAGAGGTGACAGGCATGGGCATCGGCACCAACTTCCAGCTGGGCCTGAAGGACGGCATCATTCTCTGCGAGTAAGCTTCGGCCTTCCCGGACCCCGACAGGGGTGGTTTCTGCCCTTCCGTCCTTTCCACCGGCCTTTCCCTCAGTGATCCTGGCTCCCCAGCTAGAGTGTTGGTCTTGATAGTGTACCACCGTGTTTAATACTTTCCTTTATGGATTTAGGGAATCAGCTTAACATCTAATCCTTGTTTTTGACCCATAAAGTGTCCTTGTAATTTTGTTTTTAGACTCATAAACAAGCTACAGCCAGGCTCTGTGAAGAAAGTCAATGAATCCTCACTAAACTGGCCTCAGGTAATTGCCAAGTGAGCAACCTCCAATCCATCCTTTTTCTCCCTCTCCTCCCTCCTCTCCTCCCATACTCCTTTCCTTCCCTTCCCTCCTATCTTCCCCTCCCACCCTCTCTACCTTCCCTCCTCACGCCCTTCCCTCCCTCTCTCCCTCTTCTCTCCTCTCCCTCTGTTCTCTCTCTTGTTCTTTTCTCCTTTCCTTCTCTTGTTTGAGATAAGAGTTTCACTTTGTAGCCCAGGCTGGACAAAACTCAGAATATTCCTGCCTCGACCTCCCTAGGCCTAGAATTACAAGTGAGCTGTGCTATCCCAGTTGGCTTCTTTTTTTTTTTTTAAATTTATTTATTTATTATATATACAATATTCTGTGTGTGTGTATGGCCAGAAGAGAGCATTACAGATGGTTGTGAGCCACCATGTGGTTGCTGGGAATTGAACTCAGGACCTTTGGAAGAGCAGGCAATGCTCTTAACCTCTGAGCCATCTCTCCAGCACCAGTTGGCTTCTTTTTATTTGGTGAAAAAGGTCAAAATTTTTGTATTGATTGCAGGGCTGTATGTGTGGGGGCGCATGCACCTAAATGTCCACATGATGCATACGTGTGTACCCCAACACACATTCATACATGACCAGTTCTGTCCTTAAAGAGCTTTGAAAAGCGGGGAATGGGGGCCAGTCTGTGGAATGCTTGACTAGTATTTGGGAAGTCCTGGCTTGGATCCCCAGCACGGCATAAATAGGGGATGATAGGGCTCACCTCAGATTTCCAGCACCAGGTCTGGTTCAGAAATTAAAGATCTTCCATTGTAACCAGTTTGAGCTTCTTGAATTTTGTTTTGTTTTTGTTTGTTTGTTTTGTCTCAAAATTAGAACAGGAAAAAGTGTGGTTTTTATTTTGTTGTTGCTAGAGTTTGTTTTGTTTTAAGATCTTAAAGACTGTCCTATAAACCCTTTTCCAGAAAGAGCTGTGTACTTACTGTGTATATGATAGGGAATCTTACCCCAAACCCCTCTGTCTGGAGTCTTGTTACCAGTCTTGGTGTGTCCATAGTTAGCTTTAACCCTGATGTGACTCTTTCTGTTTACACAGTTGGAGAATATCGGCAACTTCATCAAAGCCATTCAGGCTTACGGTATGAAGCCCCATGACATATTTGAAGCAAATGATCTTTTTGAGAATGGCAACATGACCCAGGTTCAGACTACACTGGTGGCCCTAGCAGGTCTGGTACGTACATGCTCTACAGTTTCCTCCACATAAGTGGCGAGTTACATCATTGTTCTCTCAGGGATGCACAAATGGGGTGGGGTGGGGGGCACTGTGTCTTCTGTAATTGCTAGCTTCGTGAAAAGACTGCTGACCTCGGCTTGTGTCAGATAGGTTAATTAGAACCCTCCCGTTTCAAAGGGTACACTATTATCACTGAGTGGCCCTGAGTAGGTTTTCTCCCTCTGGTATGATATGATCTCACCCTTGAAGCGTGTCGGTGGACATCATTTCTTTGTCGTCTCCTCTTCAAAATGCTGGTGGCAGAATATCTGTGTTCCTACTCAGCTGGTGAATGTGTTTACGTCTAGGCAAAAACAAAAGGCTTCCACACAACCATCGACATCGGAGTCAAGTATGCAGAAAAACAAGCAAGACGTTTTGATGAAGGCAAATTAAAGGCCGGCCAAAGTGTAATTGGCTTACAGGTAAGTGGTGTGATATTATTTTTTTCATCCCTTAACACAGTGTCATTAATTATCACTACATAAAATGTTATGCCTCTCATGAGGAAAGTGTTCACGACAGTTCTGCAATGCAGATTGCTCACATATATGCATGGCTTATACGGTTTCAACCTATTTAAAACCAGTGGTGGGGCATGGTGGTTTACACCCGTAATCCCAGCACTTAACAGGGTGGAGCAGGAGGGTTGCTCTGAGTTCGAAGTCCTCCTGGGCTACATATGAGTTTCAAGACCAGCCTGATCTCCAGAATGAGATCTTGTTTCAGAAAATGAAAATTAGCTGGGTGGTGGTGGCACAGGCCTTTAATCCCCAGCACTCAGGAGGCAAAAGCAGACAGATCTGAGTTCAAGGCCACACAGAGAAACCTTGTCTCAAGAAACCGGAAAAAGAAAAAGAATTAAATAACACAACAGCTATAAGAAAATGATGGTGGTGTCCGTCCCCCCCGTCCCCTCCTTCAGACAAGGTTTCTCTGTATGACGGTGCTGGCCATCCTGGAACTCACTTTGCAGACCAGGCTGGCCTCGAACTCCTGGAGATCCACTTGCCTCTGCCTCCCGAGTGCTGGGATTAAAAATGTGTGCCTCCATGCCTGGCTAAAATGATGGCATTTAAAAAAAAAAAAAAACTTCAGGTATTCCGCTCAGCTTGCCCATTGTTTCTCTAGGAGATTAAGTTTTGTTGTTGTAGTTTTTTCTAATCATACTGTCCTAAAAAGAAAGAAAATGCACTTTATAAATTCTTAGCTGTTACTGACCAAGGGGAAGCAATAATACAAAGCCCATAGTGCCAGAATCATCACACACGAGCAGTGTGCAGTATTGCGACCGAGCCTTGCTGATTGGGAAGTGTGTGGTTAGGGTGACTTTTACAGCCTCCCTAAAGAGTGTCACAAAACCACAAACAAGTGGTGTGAAAGCCGAGGACCTCCCTGGTGAACTGCCCCTTTGACTGAGTCTCTGTCAGGTGGCTTTCATTTTCAAAAGTACAACATTGTTATAAATGGAGGGCAGTTAAAGTGGACGAGCCCGAACACTGATCAGTGAGAGCCCCATGCGGTTGGAGCCTGCAGCCTAACAATTAACGCCAGTGTGTGAAAAGATAAGTTCATGGAAAAAAGTAAGGTTCTGAAATACTGTTAACTTCCAAAGGGATATATGTGTTTTTGTACAATGTGGGTTTCTATATATGGCTGTAGACATACTCAGATGAACACATAGGCAAATAAACCCCAAGGGGTATTCACAGATGTCTGTTGCAAACCCCAGTTGCATCTATACAGATGTTAATATTGCAGTAATTCCCCCCTCTTTTTTTTTTTTTTTTTTTTTTTTTTTTTTTTTTTTTTTTTTTTGCTTATATGCGTGTGTAAATCTTTGCCCGTGCAGGGGTTTTGCTTTTTGTAACAAGACATTTTCTTTTGTAAGTGTTCTCTGGGTGTGCACCCATGAACCCAGTACTTGGGAAGTGGACCGTCAGGGGTTTAAGGTTATTCTTGCCTACCTAGTGGGTACAGTGCTAGCCTGGGTTTCTGAGAGACTCTCAGAAAAGCAAAGCCCCACCCACAGTCATAGGAACTGGTTTCCTCCTCTCGGGACACTGATGGTGCTGAGAAGTCCTGGGTCTTGTAGTTCTCAGCTGGGAAGAGAAGTTAATTGTTCCTCTGAAGCTGCCTCAGTTCACACTCCTCTGGCTGTCTCTTTCTGGTTCTGGCCAATATACAAGAATTGTGGGAAGAAAATGTATCTTTTTCCTGTCTGAAAATGTTGAGGGATGGCTAAGTACGGGCCTTTGCTTTGCTGTTTTAACTCTAAGCACACAGGCTTTGCTTGCAGCAAAGATTGCTATGGACTTTAGCCCAGCATGACATTATAAAGTTACTGAAACATTACAAGCTGTTTTTGTAAGTGCCTCCCCCCCTTCCTTGTGACTTGATTATGTGACTCTGGAGTATGAACTTTGTAGATGGCAGCAGAAAGGTCGGGTGCACCTAGACCTGGAGTCAGAGGCTTGTCCTCTTTGTCCTCTGGTCTACACTTGCTGCTGGGTTCCCTGACTGAAGTGGGCACACTTTGAACTGGTCCCTGTGCTGCAGAGTATAGAAAAGAGGGGCGGGGATTTCTCCATGAACTGGTCCCTGTGCTGCAGGGTATAGAAAAGAGGGGCAGGGATTTCCCCACGGTTCTGTCAGCACAGTAGCTTCTTATTTAACAGTACGCACGCCTCTTTCTGCAAGTCTGTATGCAGCTGATTGTTCTGTGGGGTTCTGTGTATTGAAGAGCGTCTCGAGTTTTTCTTTTAGAGGTAGCCTTCCCATTTTGCTTTCAAAAGCACAGAGGGGAGTCCATACCTCGTTGCCTAGGGCCACCTTAGCTCAGGAACTCGTAAGTCCCCTGCTTCCCCTGCCCCAGTTTTTTGGTGCTGGGTTCGAGATCTTTGTACAGAGCAGATGAGGACTCTAGTGCCGAGCTACACCCGTGCTCTATAGTTGTATTGTGTATACGTTACTGACTTTTGATAACCAATGCCGATCTTTTCACTTGAAAGATGGGAACCAACAAATGTGCCAGCCAGGCGGGTATGACAGCCTACGGGACCAGGCGGCATCTTTATGACCCCAAGATGCAGACCGACAAACCCTTTGACCAGACCACGATTAGTCTGCAGATGGGCACCAACAAAGGAGCCAGCCAGGTGAGCAAAGGGCACGGAGGCCACGCTAAGCGAGCACTGACCCCGTGTGTAGCTCGAGTCGCTGATGGTATTTTTCCTATAGTATTTTTAGTCTTCAGGAAAGTAGGCTTTGCTGGGAGAGCAGGAGAATCAAAGGGCCCTTTCTCCAGGCAACAGAGTGGAGCGTGACTAATGGTTTTGGTTGGCAGCAAGAACAGTTGGCCTTTCTGCCTCAGCAGTAGAAAAAAGTGATGTTTATGTGTGTTCCTGCTCCTAGATCCAAGTAAAAGATGGTCAGTCCTCCCTTACCCCGGTTTGGTTTTGCTTTTCAAGGGGGCCCAGTGTTTAAATGGGTCTGTAAGATTATCTGGCATTTCTGCTAAGAGCTGTTTAGTCAGCATATTCTCACGGAACAGTAAGTGAATGAGAAAAAAAAAAACGAAGGAAGCACAGGACTGCTGCTAGGTGTGGTGGAGGAGAAAGTTTACTGTAGACAGGCAGAAGAGCACAGCCAGAGGCAGGACATCTGGGAGCATGCAGAGTGGCATGACCAGACTGAGCTGGGCCATGTGTGGAGAGGCGAACCAGGTTCAGCAGCCAGGAGGCCAAATGTGCAAAAGGGGCGGGGAACCAAAATGTCTGGATTATAATAGGGAAGAGCCTCTGGGGGCCAAGTGTGCCAGCCATACCCTGTAGCAAGTAGGGACTGAGGGATGTTGGGAGAACCTGGAGGCCAGCTCTTCTTTGGTGTGTTAAAATGGTACCTCAGCCATTTGTTCCTGGTTTGAAACTTAACATTGAGTTAGGGGAGAAATGAGTTTGTACGAAAGGCTAGTTAAGTAGTTCTGTAACTGTTAGTGTTCTAACTCTTTCTATGGCTACAATAAAACAGTCTGACCAAAAGTAACTTGGGGAGGAAAGGCTTTGTTTGCCTTACTTTCCAAGTCACAGTCTACCCTCCAGGCAAGTGAATGCAGGACCCTGGAGGCAGGAGCTGAAACAGACCCTGTCAAGGAAGGTCACCTCCTGGCTTCCCTGCCACCTTCCTTAGACAGCCTGGCCTCCCTGCCCAGGGGGCCCTCCCACATTCATTAGCAATCAGGAAAATACCCCTGAGATACACAGACACAGGCCAATCTGATAGAGGCGCAATTTCTTCATTAATGGATGAGGGTGTGGGCAAGATGGCCCAGGGCGAAGGCATCTGTCTGGTGACCTTAGTTTGCTCCCTGAAGATGGAAGGAGAGAACTGACTACAGAGCTGGCCTCTGGCCTTCTTCTTCTTCTTCTTCTTCTTCTTCTTCTTCTTCTTTTTTTTTTTTTTTTTTTTTTTGGTTTTTCGAGATAGGGTTTCTCTGTGGCTTTGGAGCCTGTCCTGGAACTAGCTCTGTAGACCAGGCTGGTCTCGAACTCACAGAGATCCGCCTGCCTCTGCCTCCCGAGTGCTGGGATTAAGCCTCTGGCCTTCTTGTGTGCACCCTGGCCCCATGTCTTCCTAGCGCTCCCCTGACCGCCCCCCAACCCCTGGTCCATCTCATTCATATAATCAGGAACTTGTCAACAGGGAGTCATAGTCATCTGCCCTCCTTTCTGTTACCCAATGGAAAGTCAGTCTCTCTCTCTCTCTCTCTCTCTCTCTCTCACACACACACACACACACACACACACACACCCCAAAAACAGGGAGGTACCTACCCAATAAGTATTTGAGAGCAGCAGAATTTTATATCTAAAGATAATGGGAGTAAGTTTTGGTAGCCTCATTATGTTTACGGTGACATCTGTTGTTTTCTCTTTCTGGAACCTGCCCTGTCACGAACAGCCGTTTCTCGCAGCTGCCACTCATGTTGGCCTTTTCACCCACTCTGTATCTGAGAGTGTGCTTGACATGAGAAACCGAGCAAGCGGGTGACTGCTCGTGGCAGCCTCTTGAGATGACGCAGTCCCTTTGATTGGTTCGGCATGCTTCTAGTTGAATGCTTATTTAATAAGGTTGGCCTGAGTGGCCGTCAGTAGACATTCACATGTAACGTTTAGGTCTGCCAGGGTGGAACTCTTTTAAATATAAAAAGTATTAGTTACTTGGTTTTTGTGTATGGCTGTTTTTTGCCTGTATGTATGTGTATATATGTATATAGGTGTACCACGTACATGCCTGGTACCCTTGGAAGTCAGAAATATGCAATAGATGCCCTGAAATTAAGTTACAGATAGTTGTGAGCCACCATGTGGGTGCTGGGAACTGACCCTGGGTCCCCTGCATGACAGACAAGTGCTCTTTCTAGCCCTGGGCTTTGTTTTGATATTCTTTGTGTCTAATTCTTTACTTAGCAGTAGGTAGTATTGCTTCTGTATTACATATGGCAGGGGAGACTCAAAGTAAGCTGTTGGAGGCCACGTGGAGATGCTACAGTGGGCAGAGATGTGAAAGATGACGTGACTCAGTCAAGACTCGGTGACTCCCGTCATAAAGATGAGTAGTTTAAGAATATTTTGGTAAGTTAGGTCCACGTCAAACCGATTGAAAGTTGCTCACAGTCACATGACTTTCACAGTGTAGACAGTATTAACAAGTATAGATCTTAGCTCCTGTCTCACCTTGTGTACTGTTATGTTCCCATACCAGGCTGGGATGTTAGCACCGGGTACCAGAAGAGACATCTACGACCAGAAGCTAACATTACAGCCAGTGGACAGCTCGACCATCTCGCTACAGATGGGTACCAACAAAGTGGCTTCCCAGAAAGGAATGAGCGTGTATGGGCTTGGGCGGCAAGTGTACGACCCCAAGTACTGTGCCGCCCCTACAGAACCCGTCATTCACAACGGAAGCCAGGGTACAGGAACAAATGGGTCAGAAATCAGTGATAGTGATTACCAGGCGGAGTACCCCGATGAGTATCATGGCGAGTACCCCGATGACTACCCCCGAGAATACCAGTATGGCGATGACCAGGGCATTGACTATTAGAATCACACACACGGGAGCGCAGTATTTAGTCCGTTGTTTTTATCCAGTGAGACCCAGGCTAGCCTTGAGTAATTCTTCTCTCGTCTTCCTAAAACACTATTATTCTTATTGTACCTTAAGAAAAAAATGCCTTACATACATTCCTTTTTCCTTTCTCTGCCTCCTCCCCAAATAGTTGCCTTCTAGTGCTGTAACCGTTAAGTCCTACAGCATAACCGATAACGCGTGTGCAGTGAAAAGGGATGCCGTGGAAGGGCAGCCAGTTCTTATATTGACGAGCTATGCATTTTTTTTTTTTTTACAATCTTACACTTAAACTGGTATTTTTCCAAACAATAGGAACCTATTTTTCTTTTCTACAGTTTAATGTGTATCCGGCTTATACATGGAAGACTAAAATGTTGATTTGCTAAATGTGGTTTTTGCCAACTAAATCCTAAGATGCAGCGTGTAGAACCTGACACACGGATGTTTTTTTCTGCAGTCCTGCTTGCTGAGTTTTAAATAAAGTCATGATCAGTGTGCATTTGTGATTATACGTGTACTCATTCTCTTCCCTAAGCTGACAAGGTCTTTTCCGAGTGGCGCTTCTCGAGGCGCGTCTACAAAGATGGCCGCGGACATGTAGGCTTGGGAGTGTGCCTGCAGACTTCATTTGTGCCAATGTATCGCTGTAGAGTCGCTGTTTCCTCCGACTGTATTTATTGCTGCGTTTCTCAGCATAAACTTATCCCATTGTATTTTTTATAAATAAATATTTTTTTTGAACATTCATCTGAACCGTAGGCTGGTTATTTTCTCTGCTTCTGTATCGGCAGAGTCAGGTCAGAAATCAGAGGCCTCATTCCATGGACACTGAGAAGGTATTTCAACATTATTTAACTCATACAACGTGGCACTCGTGGAGACTGAGTCTAAACGGGGTGTGGTGACTTGACCCCCCCAGTATTCCCAACACTAGAGAGGCTGAAGCAGGAGGATTTCTGCGAGTTTGAGGTCAGCTTGAGACACAGTGTCTGTTAAAGGCTACAAAAGCAAAACAATAACCAAAAGAAGAAAAATTTCCAGTGCATTAAGTGACAGCCAAGAATGATCTGGTTCTTGTGTTATGACTTGGCTGCCCTGGTTCATCTTAAATTCAAATTGGAATACTCTTAAAAGCATTTCTGGCTGCAAGGGAGAGTTACTATGTGGGCATTGAGGGCATGACATGAACGATGCCGAGCTGACGTGGGGGGTGCCGAGGAAAATCCAAGCCGTCCTTCTCGCCTAAGGGAAGGCTAAACAACAGCAGGGTGTGGGAAACTACAGTGCCTCACCGAGGGAAGATGATGGTCACTCTCACGCCTTCCGACCTCATCTGATAGGGCTGGCGGTTGGGCTTCGGTGGTTTTTGTCAAGACAGATAAAGAGATGCTTGAACCCACAGAAATGACATCATCACTCAGTGATGACTCACTCACGCTTCTGGGAGTGCCTTGGAAATCACTGTTGAGACCTCAGGGCTGAAAGGTACCATTTAAGAAGAAATTTGCATTTAAAGTGGGCCTGAGCTGTCAGATTGTTTCCTGTCAAATGCAGAGGTGGCTAGGGCAGGGAAGGGAAGGGGACCTTGTTTTACATTACAGGTGCTGGCCTGCTAAGTAAGTCAGGTCGGGCTTCCTCTTAGGATGGAGTTCTACACAGCATCTCGACTGGTGCCCGTCCTCATGTTCAAAGTCTTGTTTAGGGCTTTAAGAAGGAAAAGCTCTTCTATACGCCATCTACATTTTGTTGGTCAGGTGTGTTTAAAAACATAATAATTAAAAAAGCTCCCAGGCAAGTCTCATTTTGGGCAGAGGTTGAGCATCGCTTTCTCGTAACGTTTGCTGATTTGTGAAAGAGCTGCCTGCTTGCGACCAGCTGAGTCGCATCCTGCTTAACTGCCTGACCTGGGTGTGCCTGCTTAAGTAGAGTTCACGCCTGCCTTATGTCAGTAAGTGTAAGAGCTGATAGTGTGTGCCCAGGGTTGGAAGAATCAGAACATCCTGCCCCGTGTAAGAATAGTATTCTAGAGACTTCTAACAAAATCCTTCGTAAAAAAAAAAGATAAGCTGATTGTTACCTCACAAATTCAGATAAGTTTTACATAGTATGTGATATACTTACATTTTAAATGTATTTGTGTGTGTGTGTGTGTGTGTGTGTGTGTCAGCATGTGCCATAGCACTTGTGTGGAGGTCTTGAGGCAACTTGTGGGGATTAGTTCTCTCCTTCCACCATGCGGGTCTGGAGGGATCAGTTCCAGGCTTTAAGCTTGGCGGCGGTTGTCTCTATCCAGAGAGCCAATCTTATTTTTTATTTTTATTTATTTATGTTGAGATAAGGTCTCTACATAGCATTCAGGTTGGCTTTAAATGCCTGTGTGGCACAGGCTGGCCTTACACTGGCGGTCTTGGTACTTCGGCTGCCTAATTGCTGGGGATGGATTATAGATGCATGTCGCCATGCCCAGGCACTTTTAAAGAGATGCAGTATAAACATAGTTTTACCATGCTTTTTCTTGCTCTGGTTCATGTGAAAATAGCTGTAGGCTTTGTGTCGGCATCACCACGAGGTCAGAGCGCGCTCAGGTTCTTCAGGTACAAAAGTCTCTGGGTCCCTATCTCACAATGGGCCTCAGCTCTGTGCCTTCTTCATTTGGTAATGAGTCCTTGTGTTCTTGAGACCTTGCGTTGTTTAAGTTGTTGGTCCGTTTTACAAAACTCTGAAAAACAAAAGAGTGGCCAGCACCAGTGATGTGACAGCTCTTCGGGTAGCCATTTACTCCTGGCCCTAGAGTTTTTAGGAAATTGATTGTCAAAGGTCTCCAAGTAGCTGGGCGGTGCTCTCACACGCCTTTAATCCCAGCACTCAGGAGGCAGAGCCAGGCGGATCTGTGAGTGCAAGGCCAGCGTGTATAGTGAGGTAGATTTCAAAGTCGACTTTTAACTGGAAACATACAAGTCATGAAGAGTAGAGCAAGTTAAAGTTAGCTTTAATGCAACCATCATAAAGACAGGTAAAAATTGTCTTGTTGTATGTCTGTGAATGGAGGGTGGTTCATATTAATATTCATGCATTCATAGGAGTGCTGAAATCTAGTGCCTGTTGAACCGACAGTGCTTTGAATGTTGTTTTAAGGCCAAAGGAGCTTAAACTTTAATTTTTATGGCAACAAAATGAAAGAAAATTGCTAAAATATCATTTGACCCCCAGCAGCCAAGTAGGAGACACAGCTCGGTTGTTGAAATGTGTTCTGTCTGAAGAGGATAAGACAAAAGATGAGCAGTTTATTGTATTGCAAAAAAAAAAAAAAAAAAGCAGTTGGAAACCATTGCCTGTTAGTTCCAGATACAAGCAGCACAGGGCTTCTGGGAGGGTGTGCCCTGTTAGCAAGGGGCCCGAGGGCGGTGGATCTGTCAGTACTGGCATTAAAGGTAAGCAGTCTGTAGAACAACATGCTCTACCCAAAGTTCATGGGTATGAGTAGTGCTTGGAAATGCAAAATGCTTTCCATAAACACCGATTGTTCAAACTCCCAGACTATCCAAGGGGCAAGACCAAGCTGTTAGTGCCGAAGATAACCACTACCGTATCCACTAGAGTCCTACGGAAGAGCCCACATACCCCGTGACATTCTCACTTCTCTTTGGAGAGGGCAGAGGCTTTTCTGTAAGGAAGTAGTTCTGCCTCAGAAAACTGAGCTCCCGTACCCGTCTGGAACTTTGGGCCTGATGGAGGTAGCAACTCACGGAGCCCTCTGGACCAGAGTTGAGACTGGGTGTGTCGCCCCCCTCCCCCGTGTCTGTCTTCCATACTTTGGGGAGGACGCGAGGATGGAGATGACAACGGGATGAAGTGTTTGCTTACCAAGAACTCGGGGTACATGAAGTACGGCTTCTCTGATGATCCGTCATTGGTTTCCAGGTCCACAGCAAAGCACAGGAAAAGTATATCGATCACAGTTTCAAACACAGACAAGAAACTGTGAGCCACTATGTAGGCGAAAAAGGCCACTAGCAGCAGAGGGATAGCCCACACCTGGAGCGCGCGATTGTAGTTAAACGCCATCAGCCCGCCGAAAACAGTGAAGCACACCACCAGCACCTATGGGGGGGAGGGGGAGGGCTCATTGGAAACTTTCACGATCAGGGTCAGTGGCTATTGGTCCCCCCCCCCCCATACACATACTACAAGTAACGCTATTGTGTATGTGTGTGTCCCAAAGAGAATTGGGCAGGGTGAAAAAGAAGGAACGGAAAATGGATGGAAGAAACGGAAGCCCGGCGGGTGGGAAGACAGACACGAACTCTCATTTTCTCCGTATTTGCCTTTGCCTTCATGTAAGTAATGCAGAAAACTTTCAGTCTGCTTTCTCCTCACAGTAAGGCAAAGTCCTCAGGATCCTCACATTAGGATGTGCTTGGGGGGGTGTATGTAATGATGTAGGTGTGTTTGTGTGGGAGGGGGTATGTAATAATGTAGGTCTGTGGGGGGGTATGTAATGATGTAGGTGTGGGGGGAGTATGTAATGATGGTAGGTGTGTGTGGGTGTGTGTAATGATGTAGGTGTATGGGGGTGTGTAATGATGTAGGTGTGTGTGGGTGTGTGTAATGATGCACATCTCTGGAAGCAGAGGTCCATGTCGGATGCCTTCCTTCTTTGCTCTCCATCTTATTTCTTGAGTCAGAGTCTCATTGAACCTGGAGCTCATCCTTTCGGCTTCCAGAGATTCTCCCTTCTTTACCCACCCCACCTCCCAGCACTAGGGTTAGACATGTAACATCACCCCATCTTTTATGGTGGTCCTCATGCTTATACTCCACAAACTGAACCAGCTGACTCTTGGCCCCTTGAAAGCCTCTTTCTTTCTTTCTTTCTTTCTTTCTTTCTTTCTTTCTTTCTGATGGGATTTCTCTGTTAGCCATGGATGTCCTTGAACTCATTCTATAGACCAGGCTGGCCTCGAATGCAGAGATCCACCTGCCTCTGCTTCCCCAGTCCTGGGATTGAAGGTGTGTGCTACATTCCCACTTCTTTTTTCTTTAAACTCCATTTTTTGCTTGTTTGTTTTTTGAGATAGGGTTTTTCTGTGTAGCCCTGGCTCTCCTGGAACTCGCTCTGTAGACCAGGCTGGCCTCAGACTCAGAGATCTGCTTGCCTCTGCCTCCTGAGTTCATGGATAAAAGGCATGCACCTCCTGGCTTTAACCCCATTTTTCTATTACAAGCAATTGAGTAGGTGAATTATTAATTTCCTAAGTCATTGGTTTCACCCTCCAGGCACTAAATTGGATAGACTTTCCAGTGCTAGCGTGCAAGATAATTGGATTCTCCCAGGCTTTTGTGACATGTAATTATGATTTCCAGGAACACACTCACAGGCCATGGTATACCCAGATTCTTAAAATATGTGAGAGTCCACCAGGAAGCCCCATTACCCCTAGATGCCTGCAAAGACGAATATGCAATTCAGAATGCTATTTCCTTCAGAAGCCTAAAGTC